CTTTAGTAAGTGATTGCTAGGTTCATATGGTAATATTATTTTATCATTCAGGTGTCGCAAATTATTGGTTCGCCATTATCTACAAATTTTGCAAAACCAAGAAGAGCAATATGGGATGTGGTTCAAAAAAATATTCAAGTAGTAATAAGTCCAGGGCAGTCAGGGAATCAAAAAATCTGGCTGACTACGAAACAGCATGGTTCATCAGAGACAATACCATCTTTTTTTCAGAAGCGCCTAATGATAGTATGAATTTGGTAAGTTCTACATCGTAAGATATTTGGTAATAATGGTGTATCAAAATATTGTTTTGAAAGTTTGATTATTGTAAGAAAATAAAATATTTTCTTTGATGGTATATGATGTTTGACTGATCATTATCCTTACTAATTTCAGAGACCGTCTTTAAACCATCTACGTCAAATGTGGCAATTTTCGACAAAATAGCAAAGCCTATGGTCGAATCAGCCCTAGAAGGTATAACAGGGAATATTTTTGTCTTTGGCCAATCGGGTGCAGGAAAAACGTATATATTTGATGGAGATGTGAATGAAACTGGAATTATAGATCTTTCGGTGTCCCATATTTTTCAAAAGATCCAAAGCATTAAGGGGAGACAATTTTTGTTGAGGTATTTTCAAACTTACAATTGTTTACATATACAATTAGTATTCTGAATTGATAATAAAATATTATTGCATATTTGTATTATTTTTATATGTGGATTCTCATACAAAGATTATATATATTTATATTTAATTAAATATACATAAATAAACCATATACATACATATGCAGATAAATTCATAGATACATACAAGCATATTTATTCGAAATATATATTCATGTATGCATGTATAGAAACATGCACACATACATACATATGTATTATGTGTATGTATGTGTTTATGTAGGCACACATAATTACATGCACAGACGCATACATACTTAAATTAACACAAATTTACATTCATACATGCATAAATGTTATACATATACATACACGCATGCATACTTACATAAACATACATACATACATGCATACATATATATATAATATATATATATATATATGTATTGTCTTTTGTATTGAAATGTTTTGTATGGAGATAGCATGAAAAAATTTTCAAAAATTTTGCAGAGCGTTGAATTTTCAATAAAAAATGACACGAATTTTCACTTTTAATTTATTTGAGCTAAGTTATACCTAAAATTTTTTTTTTAATTTTCAAATTTTTTTCTATACGAAGTTTGAATGAATTGCGCACTATCTAAAAGTTAATATTAAGAGCTCAAACTTTCAGAGAATTGTTTTTCATCAATTTGGAACCATTTGAGCCCTTGGGAGCAAAGAAATTCGAAAATGTCAATTTAAAGGACCACCATAATATATACATATATAAGTATACATACATTACACAAATACATATATAAATGTAGATGCATACATACATACATACATACATATATAAATATGCATAAATACATACATATATAAATATACATACACACATACACACATACATATATAAATATACATACATACATATTTAAATATATATGCAGACATACATATATAAATATACATACATATATATATATATATATATATATATATATATAAATATACATACATGCATATATAAATATACTTAATACATACATACATACATATACAAATATACATACAATACATATACAAATATGCATATATATATTCATAAGTACAAACATATATAAATATACATACATAAATATACATACATGCGTATACAAATATACGTACATACATATATAAATATCCATAAATACATTCATAAATAAATATACATACCTACATACATATATAAATATACATACATACATACATATATAAATATATGTATTATATGCTTATATATTATAATATATACAAAGTATTCTACAAATTATTGTAACAAAATTGTTAGACGCATATAGGTTGTGGTTATATTAGGTTGTCAAATATCTCCCTGCCGCCTTTTTGTATTATAAACCAAGAGCAAAAAAGCGGTAGGGAGATATTTGTATTATAAACCAAGAGCAAAAAAGCGGAAGGGAGATATTTGACAACCTTATACATTAAATTACATTGTAATTTTAAGTATAAAAGAAATATGTGATTTAATATATGATGCACAATATTTTATAATTTCAGGATTTCCTATTATGAAATTGATGATGAAAACATTTACGATTTGATAAAGAACGACGGAGCAATCCTCAATATTGAGAAAACGAATGGTTCTGATGTTAGATACGGTGAAAAAATAATAAGTTCTGCCGATCAAATTCTCGAGCTATTAAAAATAGGCAGAGAAAATCATAAAGTGAGGGCAACTTCTACGAAACAGAACAACACGAACACCGTTTTAGTATAGTAAGTTAGATTTGGATTAATATCAACTCTACAAATAAAAAATATTCTTATCTATTAATATTATTTTTAGATTATTCAATCTAGAGGGATACACCAGGACTTCACTGACCAGACGGCCCTTGTTTCGTGTTTAAATTTATTGACCTGGTAGGTTCAGAAAGTTACTTTCAAATGATAGAAGAAGAACAGAATGGAAACCGATGCGAAATTTTTTGTGATATAAGCTTGAGATCCTTAATTTCGGAAGTGGAGTATCTGAGCCAGTATCAGGGGCTCAGGAAGTAAGCAATCAAATAATATATATGAAATAAATGATAACTCAGGAGGGGATAAATAGAAATTGTAGACTAGAGATAATTTCCACGATGGTGATAGGTATTTATTAATAAAAATAAAACAGGGATTTAAACAAGGATCCATCTAGATAACAGAAAAGATCTTCTCCGGTGGAACAAAAGTTCATGAAATTGAATCAAATTCATTCATTAGCTTTTTATTTTTGCAATTCTTCATTGATATTCCAAACAAAATTATAATTGTTATTTAATTTATTTAACACGTCTGCCATTGGAAATAGCACCAATAATAATAATAATTTGGACGTCAACGGTACGAAATCAGTACAGTAAGCACCATATATACGATGCGACCAGTCATTTTCAGGATATTCGTTGAGGCACTATGAAAACATTTTTTCTTCACCAACAAATAACGAGAAATGGCCCGGCTGATCTTTTGAATTTTCAGTAAAACTAATGAGTTTCATCAAATGTTTAAAAATCATTGCAACTGTTTTTGAGAAATCGTGGACGAAAGGTCAAATTAGGACTCACACGTTAATTTCCCAATATTCAAGCGCATCGAAAAAAAAAAACAAAATTATCCAATCGACTTTCCAGTGAGAACATACACACAAGTTAATAATATTTGTGAATTATATACTAGCAAACCCGTCGAAATCCGTTTCGCCACCAGATGGTTTCGTGAGAAGAATTTTTTTATTTGTTTTATATTTGAAAAGGAAAAATTTGATTTTATTACACAACAGTAATGAATTTATTTCGATTACAAAAATAAAGTGTTTTTTTAGTTGAACTTTTCTCCGTTCATTGAAGTGCTCTTTGGTAAACCACATTTTATGTTTTTTGGTCTGACGCTAACACAAACAAAGTGGATGGTTTTCCAACTCGTGAACAGGCAACGTATAACTGCCCATGTGAAAAACAATGATTTTCTAAATAATCTATTTATCCCGCAAACACTAAGCGATTGGCCTTGCGACTTGTTATTGCAAACGCAAGGCGAACTGGAAATTGCAATCGTTTGAAGTCAAACGGAAGACCAGTCGGAATCATTGGTATGTCACCAAATCGCCAGCAATTTTTGATTGAATGGTGAAATTCAGTGCGTGTACATCACTATTCTTTGCGGCAAGAATTGCTCGTTGACTTAATTGCAAGCATAATTCTGATAATTCTCACTAATGTCATTACTCGAATTTTTAATTACGGTGCGTGAAGTTCCAGCAATTTTCAATAAGGCACGATGCCATGCACCACTAATTTTCTTAGCTATAAACCTTGCCCGAGACCTTTCCAACGAATGCAAAATTGTCGGTTCGTGCTTTCTGGAGTTATATCATCATGAAGGAAACCCCGACTTATTTTTATATATATGTAGATATATATAAAAAAATTGTTTTATGAATTTTTACTTGTTTCTTTGCTTGTATTTGCTAAAAACTAGTAGAGAAGAATTGTTTACTTCAGTTTGCTACGATTTTCCTTGGTTATATAAATAGAATTTTAGTTTTAATTTATAAGTTGGATTTGCATAACACCATGATTTTTTTAGTGTAAACAGTAATGAAAGTAAACTAGGAGAAATTTTGGACAAACCATTTGGTGGTTATGAGATGACGGCATTAATATGTTGTATCTCACCATTGGATGTAGACGAGACATTTTCGACTTTGCGGTAAAATATAATACAGTAGAACCTCGATTATCCGGACCTCAGTTATACGGATTCGCGATTATCCGGACTACCAACCGTGATTGAGTAATATGTTTGTACATACTTACAATTCGAATTTTTGCACGATTTATGCTGCAGTTTAGTATATGTATGTAATATAATCTAAGAGAATATATATGTACATTAGAGTTTGTCGGTTTTCAAAAACTGTTTTTTTGGCGAAAATTATTTAATTCGAAAACCGGTTTTTCAGTGAAAAAAGTCGGTTTTCAAATAAATGGAAAATGGCAAATAAAGCCAAATACAAAAGATAGATGCAAGCAATTCAGTCAAATACTGCTTTGAAACACACACACGCGGATAAATTACAGAATATTCGAGCAAAAATTTATTTTCTATATGAAATTCGAAAACCGGATAAAACCGGTTTTTTAGTAAAATTAAAATTCGAAAACCGGTTTTCTGAAATGTCGGTTTTTGAATAAATCCTAATGTACATACATAAGGAAATGTTAATTTCTTATTGAACATTGATTTTCGTTGATATATCTATGTATTTATTTGCTACTTTTGATAAATACACATCATTATTCTTATCCGGATTATCCGCATTTTTGATTATCCTGTTAATTGAGGTTCTGCTGTACCTAGTTTATAGATTTAAATTTATACATTTTAGTAAACATTTAACTTTGTCAATAGTTTTGCTGACAACGCAAAGAACATTAAAAACAACATACATGTCAACAAAGTTTTTTCGGAAGACACGCTTCTGAAGAAAATGGAACATTTTATTTCCAGACTAAAACATGAATATACCCCTGCAAATCAAGTGAAGATAAAATATTTTAACTAATAAAATATTAAAACTATACTTATTTATTTTATAATTTTTCAGGGTGAAGCAAGTGGAAATATGCTCGAGATGAAAGAACTATTTAAGAATATAAAAGAAAATATAATATTTTCTGGTTCACCTCGTACAGTCGGTTCAACTTTGCATAAGAATCTGCTTATTCGGGCTGCTAGTTTAATATGTGTTGTCAATCCGTATGTATCACAATGAAAATATTGATATATATATATATATATATATATATATTATAAACCGATAATGCTGGTTAAGGTCTAATGCTGGTTACAATAGCTATACGTTTTGGCTAACATCATAGCCTTCATAATAAAAAGCACCCTTAACCGAAACGTATGGATTTCAAATAAACTTACAGACAATTAATACAATTTTCATTGATGTAACGCCAGGTTCTTATATAAACTAAACTCATATATGTACGAGGTGTGTTCAAAAAGTACCCGGAATTACTAATAATTAAATTTCGCAGGTCTGGAGTGTCTGATTGTCAAATTTTTTTTTTTATTGTGTTGGTATACATGCCCCTAAAGTATGATGAAATTTTCAGCTATATTCACTGTTTACTTTGTCTGTGGTAGTCGCTAAGGTTCGACGTGTTTTTCTGAGCTCGGCGATTTTAACAATGGAAGAATTGAAAAGTCAAAGAATTTGTATTAAATTTTGCGTAAAAAATGAAATAAAGTGTTGCAAAGTGCAAAAATTCACCAGATATGGCTCCGTGTGACTTTTTCCTATTTCCAAAGTTGAAGAGACCCATGAAAGGACGGCGGTTTTCCTCGATTGAAGAAAATCGCTGAGAGTGCTCAAGGACATATCAAAAAGTGAATATCAAGGGTGCTTCGAAAATTGGAAAAAACGCTGGCATAAGTGTATTATATCTGGGGGGGGACTACTTTGAAGGGGACCACATTAATGTAGACGAATAAATAAATATTTTTTTGAAAAAACGAAAATTCCGGGTACTTTTTGAACAGACCTCGTATATATATACATATATATATATATATATATATATGTGTGTGTATGTATGATTCTGAATTTGATATTGACATATGTATTAACAAGGTCTGGTACTCGGGCATAACATAAAAAACATGATTTTTTTACATCCATACATTTCGGCTATAAACCTAACCTTCAATCAGTAGAAACTAAAAATAAAATTAAACACCAAAACAATTGAATTGGAGTGAAAAGAAAAAAATATATAAAGAGTAAAAAGTACTTACAATTAGTTAATCTTAGTGTTAAATTAGAAGATTTTAATCATCCATGGTATCAGGATATGGTAATGCACTACACAATATTTTCACAAAATACTAATTTAAAAAAAAACACTAACTGATAGTGTGTTGTTCGTAGACTGGTTGCAAACATAATGGAGAATACACATATGTGGAACGAATTGCGTTTTTATTGTTTTGCGAGAAATTTGGAAATGCTATCTAAATAAAAGACATTTGTGTCGCACAGCGTGTTAAGTTCATTCCGTTTAATAATTGTCTTATTATTATAAATAGTTAAAAAAGATCCTTCTATAATTCCTCGTTTAAATAAATTTTGTTCGATGTAGAACAGTCGGGTTAGAAAAGTCTATATTGTGTTTTAAAGTATTAATGTGGTCCGCAAGCATAGTTTTGAGTTGTCTAGTATTTGTTGAATTGTTTTTATGTTGTTGTAAACGTTTTATCAAGTTCTGCTTGATTTCTCTTATTTTAATTTAATCACAATCGAGACAATTTATTTGACAAACGAGAATTCTAATATACCAAACCATTTCCTGATACATTGGATTATTAAAATCTTCCAATTTAACACAAACAATAAGAGCTTAACTAATTGTAAGTACTAATCACTCTTTTTATTTTTTATTTTCACTTCAATTGTTTTAGTTCTTAATTTTATTTTTAGTTTCCAGTGAATGATGAAGGCTAGGATTATAGCCGAAACGTATAGATTTAAAATAATTTTTTGTAAGAAATTCATGTTTTACATATTCTTATTACTGACATCTATTTACTTGATCCGAAGTGTAAAATTTCTGTCGCTTTGTGAGTTCCACCAAGAAACTTCAGATTTGGAAACGTTTTTGAGAAAGCTATCAGAGTGCTTCGACATGTACCCTGTTGCTAAACTTGAACCGATATTAGACGACAAGCCAAATACTCCAACAGAAATGCCTGAAACGCCTGAAATGCCTGAAATGCCAGAAATGCCAGAAATGCCAGAAATGCCAGAAATAGAGGATGATCTTGACGAACAAGAAAAATATAGTAAGTTTACTAATTGATAATTATTATAATTCAAGTCATATTTATGAATTCTCTTTTTACTACAATAATTTATAAGGGCATATTCTTAAATAGCTTATTTTTATTTGCATAATGATAAATAAACTTTAAATATTTATCACTGCAAAAAAGAAATTGAAACACACTATAAAAAGCAAAAGTTTTCTTTACTAACTTCCCGTAGGGTAAGTTATAGTAATCGCAAAAAAATCAAAAATGAAAACTTTTATATGTCTTTACGTTTCAAAACCTTCTGAACATTTTGGCATACCTTAAAAAATGGATGTATGTGTGTGTGTGTGCAAATACAAATTTTCGTCGACAATTTCGGGAACCAACGATTCAACCAATTTCAATTATTCAAATAACATTCGATTCCTATTAATAAGGAGACGTGCTGATTAGTTTTTGGCATAGGCATATTTTTTTTGTCTTCTTGATTTTGATTTTCAATACCATCACTTTTAACTTATAGATTATATTGTAATCTGATTATTAAGAATATCAAAAATAAAACAAAAATAAAAAAAAAACTTGTATTGATGAAATGAACTACTGAGTAAATTTTTGAGAAGGCAGGTCTGGCGGTTTCGGAGATCTAGTGAAAAAAAGTCAAAAATGCCATTTGGCGGTCAAAAATAATCATTAGACATATGCACATCAAATTATCAGATATTTTATAGATATTTTAATAATGTGTATACATCTTGTGTCAATTTTTTGGGTTCCGTACCGAGATTTATAATTTTGATATTCCACAGTCCACATTTTAACAGTCCACAACCTCTGGACCTGCCTTTCCAAAAATTTAAACAGTCTCTCGTTTAGTTTCAATTCGGACGCTTAGTTCTCTCAAAAACTGAATTACCATTTTTGGTCCTTTTTGCCCCGTATCTTCGAAACGGCTAGACCTGCCTATGCCAAAAACTATTCAGCACGTCTTCTTATCAATACAAATGGAATGTTTTTAAAATTTTTCAATTCGGTTGATCCGTGTTCCCGAACACACACATACACACACATGCACACATACACATACATGCATTTTTTTCTAAAGTATGCCAAAATGTTCAGAAACCTTTCAAACGTAAATATATGTGAAAATTTTCTTTTTCGATTTTTTTGCGATTGCTGTACTTACTTAGAATAGCATTTTAAAATGACTTGTATTTCAGTAAGCGTTAAAATCTCCATTAAACTTGTCATGCCTTCATCTTTCAATTAACTATAAGGATAACACTTCAAAAATATCTTTAATAGCTAAAAATATTACAGATGAAATTAATGAACGATTAACCAAAATGCAACTAAAAAAGGCAGTTTATGCTCTAAAAGAAAAGCAGGCCATAATAGGAGAATTGATAAAATACTCGCTTACATATGGTCCAAAGGGTGATATCGAATTTAAAAAACTTATAAATAACGCGTTCGAAAATGAAGCTGAAAGCTTAACACTAACATATGATGAATTAGAAAAATATTCAAATTCCAAAAATGACCCCTTGCCCCAATGCAAAGAAGCCACATCCATTTATGATAAGTACAAAATTGGTATTCGCTCAACGAATACCAATCGTCCATCAGATTCAACGCTTAAGTTTTTCGCTCATTTTCTTAGAAATTTTACAAGTAATAATGAAAAAGTTATAGAATTAATCACCTTGAATAAGGGACTAGGGAGTGCATTCTCCAAATCTAAAACGCAGGTCTCAGATCTGTTGCAAAAATATTCTGATCAGCAAAAAGCATTGGAGGAGTTGGAATCAGATCTAAGCACGCTTCATGAAAGTAATGAAAAAACGGTAGCAGAAAATGCTGATCTTCGAAAGCAATACGAGCTTCAAAATAATGAACTCTATAAAACTATTTCTGGAAAAAACAAGACAATTGAAACTCTTAAACAAAATTTGAGCGCACTGACAAATGAGAATATCCAGCTGAAGGAACAATTAAAAAATACGCAAATGACCATTTCGAGAAACATCCAGGATAAAGCGGGTCAAGAAATCAAAAATAATACAAATGAGGAAGACGTGAATCAACTCAAATTACATGCTTCAGACCTTGAGAAGCAGCTAGAAACACTCCGAATACAACATAAAAAATTAGAAGAATGGAGTATGCATCAAAATGATACCATTTCTATTCTTAATGCAGAACAAGAAGATTTGAAAAATTTAGATGCCTTCAAATTAAAAACTGCAGTGGAAGAATTGCAGAAACAGAATGCCGATCTTGAGAATGAAATCCAATGTTATAAATTGGAGGCAGAAGATTTAACAATACGTTGCGAAAATTTGAAAGTCGCTCACAAAAATATTGACACCGAATATAAAGAAATGAATAAAATATACAGTCAGCATTTGATGAAACATGAACTTAAAAAACAGACATTATTAGAAGATCATCAAAAGCTGCTAGCTTCTTTCGATGATCTTACAATTAAATATGACAAATTAGTAGAAGAGCACAAACATTGCAAGGATGTAAATGAAGAATCAATACTAACACAAAATGCAAAAAGTTTAGAAAAACAACTGACTGATGGAGAATTGCTAGAGGCACTAAATTATCATTATCGTGACGGATTTGAATTAGAAAATTCTGTGTTATATGGATGTGATCAAAATATGCCAATCGTGAGTAATTATTTGAGTTTATTTGCAGAACTAAAAAATATGAAAGATATATTTGAAAAAAATATAACAGAACTCTTCGATTATCAGAATAAGATAGTAGATATAATACAAACAGGCGGCAATGAAAATGATGGTGCATTATTTTACGTAAAGTTGATGAAAGAATTGATTATGCAGAAGAAAAACCAGCACGACTTGCAATTGTTAATAAAAAATAATAAAATATTAAAATATATCAATTTTGACATGTTCAATCAAATAAGGTGTTATAAAATGCAATTATCGGAAACAACCACAGAGCTTCATAGCAATATGCTCAAATACAATGGATTCTTCCGAGACTGCATTGAGCATCTACAAAACATGATGGGAGTAAAATCTAGTAATTTAGTGTCATTAAATGAGAAAAACTCCTTCGAATATTTCGTTGCGGTGGTGAGAATATTGGTAGATCACTTTAAAGCTAAATGGATGAAATTAAAGCAATTGCAAATTGAAAACACGCACCCAAATTATGTCGACAATCAATTGAAATTAGAAGAATTAGAAAATCAAGACATCAATTATTCCGATGATAAGGAGAACGAATCGAACAACATCATACAATCCGAAAATTTAGAATCTGGATTTAATATCAATTCTAGTATAGCAGAACTGCATGATAAAATAAAATGCTTAGAAAATAGCCTATCTGGGTAAGAATTCGACAAGCAACATAACCTTCTTTTAATTCTGTTCATTAGAATTAATTCATTTTTAATTTTCCACAGATCGAATGCGAACACGGTTAGCTTGAATGAAAAATGTGAATCATTATTGGGAAAACTGAAAAATTATCAGATGTCCAATAAAAAACTGCAGGATAAAATCACACTTTTAGAGGTATGAAGTTATATAATTATTTATTTATAAAATAGCTATTAGTTTTGAATGTACACTTTAATATTATAGTTTGCCGGATAAATAATATTTATACCTTTATGTTTTTTGGTTTTGGCTGCTTCATATATAAATAATAATGGGAAGTACTGCCCTAAGGCAGGTCTGTGAGCAGAGTTAAATTCAAACTTAATATAACTTAATATATATATTAGAGTGGTTCTTAATATGGACATTTTCGAATTTCTTTGCTCCCAAGGGCTCAAATGGTTCCAAAATGATAAAAAACAATTTTCTGGAAGTTTTAGCCCTTAATATTGTCTTTTAGATAGAACGCAATTCAAAGTTTTGTATAGAAATAGCATGAAAAAATTTTCAAAAATTTTGCAGAGCACTAGGGTTTATTAATTTTGCGCGACGATCGGCCAAGTCGTTTCTTTGTGATTAGCAGAAAAGCGTAAAATTTTTCCTCCGTTTCTTCGTAATTAAATGTTGAAATTTATTTTAATGATTTTGGTAAAATTTTGTTTAAAATATTATAGTCCTACGATTGAGCGGTTAAATTATAAAAATTCATCGAAGTTTATATTTCGTCGCAAGCTTGAGCGATTCTAATTAGAATCTATGCCTTTCATGCATATGTATGTTTCTTGTTTCGTACTGATTACAGTTGACCTCCACCCTTAAATAAAATAAATTTTTAGAACCCGAAATATGTGGTATGAAATTTGTTAAACAAATTAATTTAATTCATACAATTACAGATATTATAAAACATCAATTGGAAATCATTTTAGTAAAATTTAGTGAAAGCGGAGGATTTTTATTTTCAAAATAAAAAGTTTGTCATGTATACGTACCCGAAAGTTAATGCCACTTGCCTTAAGGCACAATGCTACTTACAACTAGTTTTTTTTTAAATTATTCGTCTGATGTGTTTCTCATTGGCATACAGACTTCATTATTTAAGGTTATTATATTTTAAAATTTGGTTTTGTACATTTTTAAATTAAAGGAGACATCTTTTACCAATTATTTCGACGGATTGATTGGCTATTAAATAATTATATTAATTATTATTAATATCCATTCCAGAACAGCGAGAACGGGAAAATAATCCTGGATGCAAAAAAATTGCGACGCCATAGTTTTCATGATTCTTCGAGGGATCTATCAGAGAGTGAAACAGTTGATAAATATACATCAACAGAACAGCAGACAGGTAATAAATGTAAAATACTTCTAAGTTCAGATTTATTTCCTAATAGTTAATATTTAGGATATTAACTAATAATTGAAATGCCAAGCTGTTAAAATTCAACTTCTCATAAACTAGATATAATTAATAATGTGGGGTAAGTTATATTAATCGCCAGATTACAAAAATCAAATGCATAGTTAATGTGTTAAGAATTAAGAAGATTTATTATTATGTTTCTAATCATTATTTTTGTGCTATTGCAGACCAGCATGATGAGGTTCCAGAAGAAGATTCTCAAATTGGATCTAAATTTCATAATTTGACAATTTAACCAATTCTTATATAGAAAGATATGCTTTAGTAAACATAATCTTTTGAATATTAATAATCTCAATTATACTTAATCCATATTATATTTAATCTCTATTATACTTATTTTCTGCGTTCTGTGAATGTGTTTCATTTAAAGTACAACTTACTGATTTTAAACATTGTACTTAAAATTAATAAAAAAAACTCCGATATGTTCCATTTGTATGCAAGTAATGCATTATTTAAAATTATGGCATATTGGCATAAAATAAAATTATTCCATATGGTGCACCAATTCCAATATATATGTATATATATATGTATACTGTATGTATATTTATATATGTATATATATATATAAATATGTATATATTTATATATGCTATGTATATATATATATATATATATATATATATGTGTGTATATATATATATATGTTTATACATGTATATATATATATATATATGTATATACATGTGTATATATATATATATATATATACATGTGTATATATATATATACTAGCAAACCCGACAAACTCCGTTTCGCCACCAGATGGTTTCGTGAGAAAGATGAAGTAATTTTTTGTTCGTTTTATATTTGAAAAGAAAAAAATTGATTTTATTGCACAACAGTAATGAATTTATTTCCATTACAAAAATGAAGTGTTTTTTAGTTAAACTTCTCTAAGTAAATAAAAGTGAATTTGCAAATTATCCGTTTCATTGAAGTGCTCTTTGGTAAACCACATTTTGTTGTTTGGTCTGACGTTAACACAAACAAAGCGGATGGTTTTCCAACTCGTGCACAGGCAACGTATAACTGCCAATGTGCAAAACAATGATTTTCTAAGTAATCTATTTGAGATTTATCCCGTAAACACTAAGCAATTGGCCTTGCGACTTGTTAATCGTCATTGCGAACGTAAGGCGAACTCGAAATTGCAATCGTTTGAAGTCAAACGGAAGACGAGTCAGAATCATTGGTATGTCACCAAATCGCCAGCAATTTTTGATTGAATGGTGAAATTCAGTGCGTGTACATCATTATTCTTTGCGGCAAGAATTGCTCGTTGACTTAACCAAGCATAATTCTGATAATTCTCACTAATGTCATTACTCGAATTTTTAATTACGGTGCGTCAAGTTCCAGCATTTGCATTATGCCATGCACCACTAATTTTCTTATCTATAAACCTTGCGGAGCCCGAGACCTTTCCAACGAATGCAAAATTGTCGAAATCGGTTTGTGCATTCTGGAGTTATTTCGTCAGGAAGGAAAACCCGACTTATTTTTATATATATAGAAGATATATATATATATACATGTGTATATATATATATATACATGTGTATATATATATATATATATATATAATGTGTATATATATGTGTGTGTTTGGGTTCATATATATGAATATGTATTTACGTATGTGTGTAAAAAAAGGGCCCCTCCACGTCATTTTTTTTCAAAAATTACGTAATTATTATGAAATATATTCGTAATCCATATTGCGTAATCCACATTACTTAAAATAGGCGAAATTATGATACATATCTTATATTAATCTTACGTAAAAATGACATAAGTATGTAACATTTTTGCGTAAAAATTACATAAATATTACGTATTTTGGCTTAGTGGGTGTGCACTATTTTTTTTTAAATGTATATTAGAAATTCATTGTAGTAGTTATAACCACCAACTACCAACAAATTATTAATCAATATTGTAAAATATTGAGAACCATAACCTAGGCAAGTGTGAATTAAATTTAAACAAAATCATGCAAATAAATGATTGAATCATTACCTCTTATCGCTTACATCGTTATCTGTTTTCTATCCAGTAAAGTGTAATCATCAATGTGCTGAAAAATATTCAAACTAAAATCAGTAAAATAATGCATATGGATTCAAATCAGGTATTTGAAATACTTACCTTGAGTTTTATGTATGTGGATGGCCTTTAACCCATTCAAAACAGATTTGAAGTAAAAAAAATAACTTAAAAACACACACACACACACATATATATATATGTTGAAAATTTTTAAATCTGATGTTGAAATGTATGATTGATTTCTTGGAGGGCGTAACATCAATTAAAAAATAAGTAAAGATTTTTTTCAAAACATCTTTACTTTACTTATTTTTTAATTGATGTTACGCCCTCCAAGAAATCAATCATATATATATATATATATATATATATATATATATATATATATATGTGTGTGTGTATATAAGCAAAATTTGCCTTTGGTTCATTAAAGTTTTTAAAATTAAGTCAAAAGCTGCAAGAATCTTTGATTTATATAACTAGGTGTAAGTAGAATTTTGCTTTAAGATTGTGTGAAAAGTAATGAAGAGAAGACATTCAGCAATTTTTCAAAATGAGCCATCAAATTTTTACTTGTTATGTAAGAACATTTACATTTTAAATCTAAACAATTTGACTTTCAACCATTTCTTGCAACGAAAAAAGTTAATTCTAATTGATTTAATAAATACATTCATTCTACTTCGTGATTTAAAAATGTAATTTATATTTTGGGCTTGAACAGTCTTCACTTTTCCATTGCGATTTTAAAATTCTTTTCAATTTCAATAACTGTAAAAATATAATCATCTAGGTGTTAGTCGTTCTGAAAAGATTTCATCCTATCTAAATTTATAACAAAACGTAATGTAAATTATTTTAATTAGTATAATATATACAGTAGTTCATTATATTTATATCTTCGTACAAATTTGAAGCAATCAGTCTAATCCCTATATTACTTCTATTATCTTTCTTAATGACATTCATTTAAAAATTTTATACAATAGCAATATAAAAATAATCAACTTACAAATACTGAAAAAAATCTTTTTGCCTCATTCTATAATTATAACTCACACTTCATATCCAAAAAGATCAGAATGCTTTAGTTAATTTTCTAATAGTAACCATGAATACAGTCATTTGATAATTGAAAAGTTAAAAAACTAGTAAATATTCATGTCCAAAGATCTATTTAAAAAAACTGATATTAGATTGATATTTATCAAACCGAGAAAACAAATTTAAATTAATGGAACTATTTCCCAGAAAATTAACAAAGCACATTATTTTTATCGTCTAAGAAATAATGCAATTAAGAAAAAGGTAAGATTAGAAATAGATTTAGAATTAAACGTGCGATAATAAATAAAAGTTATAATAATAATAATAATAATAATAAAATTTGAAAAAAGCAAGGAATAACATACTACATAAAATGAAATCATTTAAAAATTAAGAATTTGTAAATTTAGAATTCTATGAATTAGAATAGAAAAATGTATCTTGGACCACAGACTTCATTCCAAATTTAGCAATATTTACACGAAGAAAAGTTTTCGCAAATTAACTAATCATTTCATTATATTTGTAACAAATTGAATGCAACCTAGATCTTTGGTTTGTTTGGCATCGGTGAAAATTGCACATACAATTCATTATATTCCGTTAAACTTACAAATATATACATTTTTAAAATGGTATGCAGGCATATGAATAGAAAAAACATAAAATCAACATTCTCTTCTAACAACTCAAAGTATGACTTGATAACATTTCACTACAACTACTTACTAATTCAATCACAGAACCTTGTCTTTACCACTTATCACTTAAAAATTAATATTTAAATGTGGGGTACTATTTAAAAAACTAGTACAACGGTTTTGATTAAATAATTATATTAAATTCATTGATTCATTCAGTGTGATATTTAAAAACAAATATTAACTTGAGCTCTAAAATCAATGATATTAAAATCGAATACTTCGTAGTTTTTATTTCATTATTGAATATTTTAAAAATGATTTTAGAAGCCAACACGAAATAGGTTTATTAATTCAAAACAATACTTAAATATGATTTATTATACAGCGCTTACACAATTTTGGTCTACGCTAAAACCAAAGGTTCGTCGTCGGAGAACGGCCTTATATCAGGAACATCGTCATCTAGAAATAAACTAGTATACTAGTTATCTATCAACATTCAAAACTGAAACCAAGTAGGGAATGCAATATCGGTATACCGGTACACCGAATTACCGGTAAACCGCCCGATTTTTCGGGTATTTTTACATAAGCGCTATTTGATACATAATACCCTAAAGTTTAAATTTCTCGGAACAAATTTATCTTTAATTCCATAATCGCATAAACAGCTATATCTTCAAGTGATTCTATAGGATAAACAAATGTCAAATATTATCTCAACTCGTCATTAAACTGAATATTTATTGCTTTACTAAGGGCTTCATATCGTGTTACAATAAATAGAATTTGGAATGTTTGTTTCATCTTTTGTAAAAATGTAACGGTTTTTTAAGTAATATTTGCGTCAAAATATTTTATATCATACAAATTACCATCTTTATTTTTTTCTAACTTTATACATAATAATTATGATAATTACTAAATATTTTTGCTTCTTAACAATTATAAAAAAATATTTTTCGAAAACGTTTCGAAGTTTGAAAATACTATAGAAGCATCACAATGTGATAAATAATAATACTCAACAATTATAGTAACTTATTATTTATCTTGACAAAGTATCCGATCTTAAATTAGTGTAGAAAATTATTTTTTTTAAATATTGGAGATTATGCTAATTTAACACATCGGATACAGACAATACAGTTTTATTATAATAATGTAATATGATCTTTTATGAGTTTTTGGTCTTTCTTACTCATAAGTTCGTTTTTGGTGAAGAGTACTCAATATAGTAATAATGAATTAATTAAATTGGATATAATTTTGTTAAATTATTATTTAAAAAAATGAACTTGTTGTTTTATTTTATTGTTTTTATTGTTATAGTTATAGTTGTACTTGTATATACATTTTTTTATATTTGTACTAGTAACTTTCAATTTTGTTTACGTTTGTTTAAGATAATAAAAATACCGGTAATTTACCGGTATACCGGTTTTAAAATGAAAAATTACCGAAATACCGATACTGAAATTTTCCAGCGGTATTGCATTCCCTAAAACCAAGTATTCAAAATCTTTTAAATGATTGACCACTATCTATCAGAATTCTAAAACATTTCAAAGCCGATACAAAAAACCTGGTAATTTAAAAAAAAAAACTAAAAGTTTTATGTATAAAAAGTTTAAAGAAATATGTAAAACGACGTATTATTACAAAAGTTACAAATAATTAATGCAAACAACTATTGAAAACAGTTAAAATGTTTTTAAGAAGTAATGAAGCAAATCATTGTCAACCAAATGTCTTCCAAATTCATCAATCATATCAATAGCTAATTAAACACTTTTATATTTTTATAACAATGTTACCTCTGAATTTTTTTTTCCTTATTTACCTAAAACTCCTCCTGCACCAATAGTAGTAGCACCAGTCCTCGTGTCATAATGAGAATTGGCGAATCTGGTAAAACTATTCTGCGCCCTTCGATGCCTCCAAACGAGAACCGCTGCGGCGGTGCATACAGCTAGGGTTACCAGGATCAAAACTGGTGCAGCCACACGCCATGTGGAACCGCCATTGCCACTGGATTCATCGTAAGAGAACAACGACCACGTTCCTGGTAAAAGACATTTTTGTTAAATATAGAACATGAATGGGAATACATTTGGTGCATTTAAAATGCAAATGACAGAAGTCTAGAAAAATCATGAAAAATATATATTTCTTAAGAATAAACCAGGAATTACTAACACAATTTGATAGTTGTTTGTTTGTTAAGTATTTATTATGTGTTGGTTTGGATTTCACAGAATGAATAGCAATAGTCAAACTGGACTCGCTCTTTCCTAGATTTAAGGTTAAAAAAGAAGGCATTTACTCTCATCCCTTATTTTCAACAAAAAAAAAATTACCAAATGCAACGGAAGTTCGTTACGCCCGAACTGTTCGTCATTCGCTCTCGATCGTTTCTATACGGGTCGATTGTGATTAGACATCAACGTTGTATGCGTACCGATATCAACAAGGAAATCGGCATTGATAAATAAAAATTTTAAAGTAGTACTAATCTTGATTTAATGCCTGAATCAGAAGAATATTTTACCCGTTTCTCGAAAATAATAAAACAAATTAAACATTTGTGCCGTGAACTAAACGTAACTTTGTTGATTAGAAATCATTCCTATATTATTCGTAGTTTCTATAAATGTTTGAAGTTATTAAAATTGAAAATATTTTTTAGGCAAGACATATTACAGCTGTTCAAAGAATGAGATTATATCGCCAGCAAAAAAGTAAAAAAATACAAACAGTCAATGAATGTATGTTAATTTTAATCACATAAAGTTCTTCAGACACAAATGCATGATGAGTGAAGTTGCGAAAACAATATTTGTTTAGGCGTTGTTTAACATAATCCACTTTGTGAACAAATATTATAGAATTTATTAATCATCAATTACTTCATTTCTCTAATGAACGTTCATTTCTAAATGCTAATTACAATGACAAACCGATCATGTCATATTTCAAGTATGACTTTAATGACATTGTTTTTAAATATTAAAACATATTTTTAATGCTATTATAAATATATAATTTATCATTATATAAATGTGTATAATGGTTGACACTAATAAATGTGTCCATCACAAGTGTTACCATATTACTAATAAACATTATTTAAAATTGTTATATGAAGTATTTATTTAGCAAAATAAGTTTTTACTTCAATCGCGTGTGAATCTTATGCGCACTCTTTTTTTTTAGATGTAACTTGTTTTAACATTCATGGTTGGATTATATAAATCTAAATAAAATAATAGAACTGTTACAAGTTTTAAATAAAGCATTTTTGAATCAGTTGTTTTTAATATACTGATTTTTTGTTAAAGAAAAAAGATACAAGTGTTAGAATGCAACAACCCCTATTTCTTGTATCAAAGATGAGAGCAATTATTATATATAAATAAAAAGAATATAAACTATAAATATTATGTCAGGTTTGAAAAAAAAAGACATCATAATCATTAACAAAAAAGAAATTAATGGTTATCATACCCAATGGTACTTGAATAGATTCCACTTCACTCAATTCGGAAAGCATTCCTTGTTCAGTTTGGATTTGCACAGCCATTGAATAAATCTGCCCTTCTTCCAAGGAATCAAGAATTAACGTTGATTCTGATAGAGTATAATTCTTGCCAGTCTTTGTATCGACTTGTTTACCGGTTGACACCCACAACACATATTTGAATCTGCAAAAAAAATCCAAGAATGTATTAATTCAATGTTGCCAAATTAATTTAAACAAAATGCTTCTTTTCCTTACTTAATGGAACTGATTTCATCAGGCATCTTGACATCTTTCCATTGCACCAAGAATGAGCTGTTCCTCTGCCTCCACATCTGCAGTTGATGTGGAACCGGTAATGGTGGTCCTTGTACGGTAATTTCCGAATCTGCGGCTGGACCTTTCGATGTCAATCCATCACCAGAAGTTCTGACGAGAATTCGATAATTGGCGCCGTATAATACAGGCTCCACAAGATGGGAAAGTGTTCTGTTGGAAACTGCTGCCAATTCGAAGCGGAATGTTTCGTTGGTGGTTAATTCTATTATTTCAGCCTGTAAATAGAAAACATAACAAAAATACTAATAATATAAAAAACTTACAATACATGGTAACTAGGGAATGCAATACCGGTATACCGGTATACCGAATTACCGGTAAACCGCCCGATTTTTCGGCGGTATTTTTACCGGTATTTACCCCAAAAATACCGGTATTTTCGGTATTTTTACATAAGAGCTATTTGATACATAACACCCTAAAGTTTAAATTTCTCGGAACAAATTTATCTTTAAATTCCATAATCGCATAAACAACTATATCTTCAATTGATTCTATAAGATAAACAAATGTCAAATATTATCTCAACTCGTCATTAAACTGAATATTTATTGCTTTCCAAAGGGCTTCATATCGTGTTACAATAAATAAAATAGGACTGATAGATAACGATATTTGTTTCATCTTTTGTAAAAATGTAAAGGTTTTTTAAGTGATATTTACGCCAAAATATTTTATATCATACGGATTACCCCTGTGTAATCTTTATTTTTTTCTAACTTTATACATAATAATTATGCTAATTACTAAACATTTTTTGCTTCTTATTACAATTATAAAATATTATTTTTTGAAAACGTTTCGAAGTTTGAAAATACTATAAAAGCATCACATTGTTTTAAATAACAATACTCAACAATTATAGTAACTTATTATTTATCTCGACAAGGAATCCGATCTCAAATTAGTGTAAAAAAAATATTTTTTTAAAATATTGGAGATTATGCTAATTTAACACATCGGATACAGACAATACAGTTTATTATAATAATGTAATGTGATCTTTTATGAGGTTTTGGTCTTTCTTACTCATAAGTTTGTTTTCTTGAAAAGTACTCAATATACTTGATAGTGATAATGAATTATTTAAATTGCATATACTTTTTGGTAAATTATTATTTAAAAAAATAAACTTATTGTTTTATTTCATTGTTTAGTTGAATATAATTGTAGTTGTATATACATTTTTTTATATTTGTAGTAGTAACTTTCAATTTTGTTTACGTTTGTTTAAGACAATAAAAATACCGGTAATTTACCGGTATTCCGGTTTTAGAATGAAAAATTACCGAAAAACCGGTATTGAAATTTTCCATCGGTATTGCATTCCCTAATGGTAACAATAGTAATCTTTGTGATAGTATCATAAATTAAACTCATAAAAATTTTATGTATTTAAAGTAAGCTTCTTTTTCCTACTGACCACATATCCCACAGGTTGAGTGATAACATCACAGCTCGGTTTCCAAGTGATAAGCAATCCTTTCCTATTGACCACTCCATTAGTCTCAACAACAGTAGCTTTCAAATCCCTGACTGGAGCTTTTGGATCATAAGGTGTGTCAAGTGTACCAGAACCAGCCGTACTAAGAGGTCCTGGAGCCCATCGTGCACCGAGGGTTCCCAGAGAACTATCCAAGTCACCAGATGAGGTTCCTGAAGCACCATCACCAGCTAAAACACCAACTGCTATAAAGTATGAGGAGCAATGCTCTAATCCGCGGATGGTGGCGGTCAGGTTCTTGGTTATGAGACGAGGTTCTGGAAAGGAAAAAGATCGAAATTAGAAAATTAAAAGTAATGTAAAAAGTAATAATTGATAAAGGTATCAAGCAGTAAGAACAAATGATGCTTGCATAGTTAACTAATTAGAAATAATTAAACAAAAAGCAACAAAATATTAGATTGTCAAATATCTCCCTTCCGCCTTTTTGTATTATAAACCAATAGCAAAAAAGCGGAAGGGAGATATTTGACAACCTAATATGAAATAATTGACAGAACACAATTTTCCAACAAATATTGACAAATTTCTAATAACTTATCTTTTTACCACTTACTTTCTAATAGCCCCTGCATGTTTCTGCCATAATAAACTGCATACCACCATTTTGCCTTTCCTGGTGCCTCCCATGTAACTTTAGCTACACCAATTTCTGACTTACTGCCAGCTGCAGGCTTGATGAGACGAGCTTGAATAGCTGTAGCATCTGGGAAATTTCTTCCTGGTGTAGCAACAGTTATGGAACTAGACATAGAATGATATTGCTTCCTTACAGCAGAAACCTAGAAAAAAATAATAAATAAATAGAAGGTATAATAAGTTTATAAATTATAATAAATTTTATAAATTTTCTTTATATATATAGATGACATACTGAAATGGCGTGTTCAACTCCAGGACTAGCGTTTTTGATGACAATTTCGTTCTTCTTAACAAAAACAGGTTCCAATTTTGGATATGGAAGAGGTAAAATTCTTTGCACACTGTAGCCATCAACGTTTTTCACAGGGTCCCAAGACAGCGAGATGCTTGATACTCCTATAAAGAATATTAACATTGAAGATTAAAATTAAACTTAAAATAATTTCTAAATTTGCCTTATTACTTTTATAGCATACCTCTATCTTTATCACCAGCAACATTAACAACATGTAATCCTCTGATGCGATCACTAAACACTGAATCCCCATCAAAAACAATTTCAGAAGTATTAGAGTTTTCTGATAAAGCTAATGTGTTACGAGCTACAAGCCAGAATGTATATTTCATTGCTGGTTTGAAATCACCTCTAACAGTGTAAGATGTTGTTTGGGCTGGTATTTGATACTAAAATATATATAATAATTATATAGAAATGCAAAATCTGAATATGATACAATTAAATTATTAACTGACCTGTCTTGGTGGTGTAGGAGGTGACACAAATAGTGTATAACCTCTCAATATGCCATTTACATTCTTAGACTCTTCCCAAGTGACTTGAATATTTGATCCATTTTGTTGAAGTAATTTCACATTAGTTGGGCTATCAGGAATGCCTTCTGATGTAGTGGCATTGACAAACTTAATGGGAGCAACTTCTACACCATTTGAATCACCTTTCTTATCACTTTTGTCAACTTTCTTGACTCTTACATAAACTGTCATGTTATAATTAGTGTATGGTTTGAGATTCAAGAATCGGTGTTCAGATTGCTCAAGCCAATTGGTGTGATTTGTCCATGTTTCTTGATTGCTGGAGATGGGGGTAATAGAGGGTAAGAATTCGAGTTTTACATCTTTTGTATTTCTGGGTAAAGACCAGTAGAGGAGCAAGCTGGATGAGTTAATGCTGCGATCTTCGACGCCCATAAGGAGAATCTGAAACAAAATTAATATTTATACAAATTAGGAAGATACAGCTAACTTTAGCTAGCAAAAGATAGCTAAAAATTTTTTTTTAATTTTATATGATTATTATTGTTAAAATACTTTTAATACTTTACATTAGTTAATTTAAAACTTATAATTAAAAAAAAAAAACACTAAAAAATTGAGATACAAAATATTGACTTTTTTTTTCTAATTATTATCTTCATATGATTGTTATTGTTAAAATACTTAATAATTAGTTAACTAAAAACTTATAATTTAAAACACCTAAAATTGTGAAACAAAATTTTAATTTTTTTTTATACGACTGTATTGTTAAAATGCTTAATAATTAGTTAACTAAAAACTTATATTTTACAAACACTTAAAAAATTGTGAAAAAAAAATACTTCTTCATCAAAATACCTAAAAATTTGTAAAAAAAAAAAACTTATATTGTAAAAATATTTAACAAAAATAATGAAAATGATAGTGATATAATAATAATATGACTAATATGTCATATACTTCGAAATACTTATTAAATTTTTTAAAAAAATACTTGCAACAAACAAACTAGTTATATTTATAAATAATTAAAATGAACTAAATATAAATAAGTTTATAGTAAATAAATTAAATAATAAATAAATAATAAAATAGCTAATAATTAATTATATTATAATAAACCTATAAAACATTGACTTAAGCCTTATTATAATATTATTATACTGACGGCTTGTAAAATTAATAAATAAATAAATAAAGATACAGAAGTAAATCATATAAATAGTTAGGTAAATTTTACCTGGTATACTCGTTTTCTTCCTTCACAATTAGATTCATCAGATCCATCATAGCAATCCTGCTTGCCATCACAGAATTTGGTCTGTGCCAAGCATTCACCAGTAGCACAAGCAAAATAGCCACGTGAACACAAAGTTGGTTGTTTTTCTGCAACAATAATAAAACTTAATTTTCTAGATTTTTCGCGCCGACGAATAATATCACCAAGTTTTATTATTTCAAAAATCATATTAGTTAAATATCTTACCTTGACTTGTATGCTCTTTGATTTATATAACTAGGTGTAAGTAGAATTTTGCTTTAAGATTGTGTGAAAAGTAATGAAGAGAAGACATTCAGCAATTTTTCAAAATGAGCCATCAAATTTTTACTTGTTATGTAAGAACATTTACATTTTAAATCTAAACAATTTGACTTTCAACCATTTCTTGCAACGAAAAAAGTTAATTCTAATTGATTTAATAAATACATTCATTCTACTTCGTGATTTAAAAATGTAATTTATATTTTGGGCTTGAACAGTCTTCACTTTTCCATTGCGATTTTAAAATTCTTTTCAATTTCAATAACTGTAAAAATATAATCATCTAGGTGTTAGTCGTTCTGAAAAGATTTCATCCTATCTAAATTTATAACAAAACGTAATGTAAATTATTTTAATTAGTATAATATATACAGTAGTTCATTATATTTATATCTTCGTACAAATTTGAAGCAATCAGTCTAATCCCTATATTACTTCTATTATCTTTCTTAATGACATTCATTTAAAAATTTTATACAATAGCAATATAAAAATAATCAACTTACAAATACTGAAAAAAATCTTTTTGCCTCATTCTATAATTATAACTCACACTTCATATCCAAAAAGATCAGAATGCTTTAGTTAATTTTCTAATAGTAACCATGAATACAGTCATTTGATAATTGAAAAGTTAAAAAACTAGTAAATATTCATGTCCAAAGATCTATTTAAAAAAAACTGATATTAGATTGATATTTATCAAACCGAGAAAACAAATTTAAATTAATGGAACTATTTCCCAGAAAATTAACAAAGCACATTATTTTTATCGTCTAAGAAATAATGCAATTAAGAAAAAGGTAAGATTAGAAATAGATTTAGAATTAAACGTGCGATAATAAATAAAAGTTATAATAATAATAATAATAATAATAAAATTTGAAAAAAGCAAGGAATAACATACTACATAAAATGAAATCATTTAAAAATTAAGAATTTGTAAATTTAGAATTCTATGAATTAGAATAGAAAAATGTATCTTGGACCACAGACTTCATTCCAAATTTAGCAATATTTACACGAAGAAAAGTTTTCGCAAATTAACTAATCATTTCATTATATTTGTAACAAATTGAATGCAACCTAGATCTTTGGTTTGTTTGGCCTCGGTGAAAATTGCACATACAATTCATTATATTCCGTTAAACTTACAAATATATACATTTTTAAAATGGTATGCAGGCATATGAATAGAAAAAACATAAAATCAACATTCTCTTCTAACAACTCAAAGTATGACTTGATAACATTTCACTACAACTACTTACTAATTTAATCACAGAACCTTGTCTTTACCACTTATCACTTAAAAATTAATATTTAAATGTGGGGTACTATTTAAAAAACTAGTACAACGGTTTTGATTAAATAATTATATTAAATTCATTGATTCATTCAGTGTGATATTTAAAAACAAATATTAACTTGAGCTCTAAAATCAATGATATTAAAATCGAATACTTCGTAGTTTTTATTTCATTATTGAATATTTTAAAAATGATTTTAGAAGCCAACACGAAATAGGTTTATTAATTCAAAACAATACTTAAATATGATTTATTATACAGCGCTTACACAATTTTGGTCTACGCTAAAACCAAAGGTTCGTCGTCGGAGAACGGCCTTATATCAGGAACATCGTCATCTAAAAATAAAACTTAATATTTATATAATGAAAAGAAATAATAGTTTTATTAAAAGTTATAGACCAACATTCAAATCAGAAACCAAGTATTCAAAATCTTTTAACCAATTGAACGCTATTTATCAGTAAAACATTCCCTTTACAATACAAAAAACTTGGTAATTTTCTAAAAAAAGTAAAAGCTTTATCTGCAAAATGTTTAAAAACATATGTAAAACAATGTATTATTGCTGAAGTTATAAATAATTAATGCTAACAACTGTTGAAAATAATTAAAATATTGTTAAGAATTATATAAAGTAAACCATTGTCTACCAAATGTCTTCACATTTGCATTGTATCATATCAATAGTTAATTAAATGCTTTTATGTTTTTTATGTTATATTTCATTGTTTTTCTAATGTTATTTTATTATTCAGAAATTTTATTTATATTATTTATTAATTTTATTTTTATTCATATTTGCTTTTATTTTATATTAACTCATCATAATACGGATATTATTTTCATGTAAATTCTATTCTTTGCACTCTTATTTATTTAAATTTGTTATTATTTATCAATATTGCTAGATGTTAATTATTTAACAGTTAAAAAAAATGTTTTTTATAATAATGTTACCCCTGAAAATTTTCTTACCTAAAACTCCTCCTGCGCCAATAGTAGTAGCACCAGTCCTCGTGTCGTAATGAGAATTTGCGAATCTGGTGAAACTATTCTGCGCCCTTCGATGCCTCCAAACGAGAACAGCGGCGGCGGTGCATACAGCTAAAGTCACCAGGATCAATACTGGTGCAGCCACACGCCATGTGGAACCGCCATTGCCACTAGATTCGTCGTAAGAGAACAACGACCACGTTCCTGGTAAAAGATATTTTGCTTAATATAGAACATGAATGGTAATACATTTGGTGCATTTAAAATGCAAATGACAGAAGTCTAGAAAAATCATGAAAAATTTGTATTTATTAAGAATATACCAGGAATTACTAACACAATTTGATAATTATTTGTTTGTTAAGAATTGATTATGTGTTGGTTTGGATTTCACAGAATG